CAAAACATTTTCAATGGAAAAAAACCCAAGAAAGTCCAGTTGCCTTTTGGAAAAGTACCTTTGGGACATCTTCCAATGTCTTTCGCCATCACTGTGGGTAAAGCTTGTTACTGATTTGCCACAATGCTGTCTGAGTGACGCTAAAAGACTATGTAAGTCAGAGGCCCCCAACCTTTTGAGCACCAAGGACCGGTTCTGTGGAGAAAGATTTTTCTGTGGACCAGAGGGGACGTGGTTTCGTATGCTACCTGCATCCAGCGGATGGGGCTTCACTTGTTTGCACGGCCCAGTTGCTGGTATGCCACAGCCCAGTGCCGGTCCACGGACCAGGGGTTGGGGACCCCTGCTGTAAGTCATTTGTAGAAATCCTCCATAGTCATGTAAAGCACTTTGAGCCCTTCCAAATAGTTGCATAGGTGAAAAAGAGATACCTTACCAAAAATATCGTCTCTACCTGACAATTGCTATGTTAAGAAAATCAATTTTGGGCAACTGTTCCTTTATATGGTTTGCTTCTACAGTACCTATCAGGTGAGTCTTCAAGTGAACTATCTTATGTAAACTGACCTGAGGATAAAAAATGCAAAATTCACTCCTCCACAGGTGCTAATTCTTCCTGTTGTCCATTTCTATTAATGCATGACAGAAATTGCAGTATCCGCAATTCCCGGGAATAGCTATCTGTATTTAATGTCCACCATTGCTTCAGCTAAAGAGCTTTTTTCAAATAAGACATTTGTACTTGTATAAACTAGGTTTCATTGCACATTGCCTTAAAAAATTACGGCATCGTATATTTCAAAGATGACAAAGAAGCCTTACCAGGTTCTTGGGATACGTTTGCTTCACAAGATGAGTGTACCTATATAGACAACAGCTTGACACCAAAATAATCAGGACTAATAAAAGGCCTGGTACAGTATATCCAAATATGACTGTTGCAGTTTGCTTGAAAACTGGATCTGCTGAGAAAATATAGGTTAGATGTTTTCCATTTTTCAAAGGGCCAACAGGCAAAAAGCATTAACAATTGACAGCTGTCTTTCCCATTTGAGAGCGGAAAAACATGTATTCTGCAGGTAGTCTTCAACTTACAAGCCATTCATTTTGTGAGTGTTTGAAGTTACAATGGCACTGAAAAAAAGCAGTCCTCACACTTACAACCATCATAGTATCCCCAAGGTCTCATGATCAAAATTTGGGCATTTGGCAACTGGCATATATTTACGATGCTTGCAGCATCCCAAGGCACCCGACTGCCATTTGTAATCTCCCCAGCCAGCTTCTGACAAGCAAAGTAAGTGGATGAAGCCAGATTTTCTTGACAACCACGTGAATCGTGTGCTTGTTAACAGAATCTAGCTTCTTCTACAGACCTTGCTTCACTTAACAACTGCAGTGAATCTGGCTTCTTCCACAGAACTTGCTTCACTTAACTGCAGTTATTTACTTAACAACTATATATAAAAAAAGGGTTGTAAAATCAGATGCAACTGACTTAACAATTGCTTTGCTTAGCAACAGAAATTCTGGTCCCAACTGTCATAAGTCAAGGACTACTTGTACATTGAATAGAAAATATGCTTAAGATTTTATATCTATTTGGAAGTTTAACATATTTTAAAGTCTTTCTAATTTCTAGTAAAAGATCTGATCAGATTAGAGGGTTATTCAGAACTGAGAAGTGCCCTTCAGCTTCTGTAGAGAATTTTGACAGTTCTGTCTTCAACATATGCCCACATATAAGCCAGAATATTTATGAAATATATTATTTTTCAAAATGCACTGCATGTTAGCAAGCATTAAAATAAGGTCCCTTTTATAACTTCTTGCTTGTGTAACAGCTGGGTTATGTTCTTTTAAATTCTATATTTAGGCTGTTCATCCAGAGTAAGTTATTGATTTCTCTGCCAGCAGTTTCTTTCTTCGCCTAATTTATCTGCATTTATTAGGAATACATAGGCAATTAATAATGACTAAAAAGGGCTGACTTGCTCGTTTCTAATAAAAGATTTAAAATTATGCTCTTCAGAATCCCATCAAAGCAAAAATGCAACTACTTAGTATTGCAGAGCTGGAAATGAGTGGTAAAAACAGGTCTATTTTTGTAAAAGTAACTAGCAGAGGCCGTATTGTAATATGAAGGTTGCCTCTTCTATCTATCATGAGACATGAATGGAAACCTAAGGTCAGCTATGAATGATAGATCTTGGTAGCTCTTTCAAAAAAACAATTATGGTGTTATAGAAATTGAAGAATGAGAAGGTTTCCATTTGTGGCAGATGTAACAGATGTAACACAGGAAATGTTACATGTATTATAAAGCCAAAAGATTATTTTTAAGAATTTTCAAGAGAACTAGAAACCTATGTGGAATTCTTCCTCAACAACTTCCGTCTGTTCATAGTATTGATGACACACAGAAGTATGGTGTATTTTATACTCCTTTGCTTACCTTTCAGGGTAGCGATGCAGTGTTCTTCAGATAATTCACTAAACAGAAGCGGAGTAATATATACTTGTACTGTGACACAGTATATTCTATTTGGCTGTAACTGTTGCACCTCCAATCTATTGTTTTGAATGCAAAACATCCACTAAAGAAAGGAAGGAGGAAGGAAAATCTTTTTATGTTTTAAAAACTTAACTATATTGAGACGTCACTTACTGAACAAATACAGATGAAAGGCCCTTTCTGAAAACTACTCTATAGATTTCTATAGCCTCATATAAAAGCAGAAAATATGCCATATATTTGGGATTGAAAAGCTTATCTCAGTGGTGGCGAACCTATGGCATGCGTGCCAGAGGTGGCACTCAAAGCCCTTTCTGAGGGCACACGCGCCATAACCTGGAGATGGCAACCATCCCTCTTCAACCAGACGCCCGCTAACATGTCTGGATACATCCCAGCACCCATGTGCTCGCTGGCCTCTGTGCGCAGGGGCCGATGGTGTCAGGCAGCACCCGCCCCGGCCTATGCCTCACTTTGCCCTGTGACAAAGGCATCCCCGCCCTGCCTCACCTTGCCTCACCCCGCAGGACGAACCTCCTGCCCACCGCCCCACCTGCCAGAGACCCCCTGGATCTCCCCCAACCTTGCCCGGCCCCAACAGGCATCCCTCCCTATGAGCAACATTGAGGTGATCACGCCCACCTTGGCCACACCCACCCAATCTGCCATGACACCACAGCCACGCCCACCCAGTGGGCCATGCCCATCTGGCACCCAGCGATAAATAAATGGGTTTTGGGTTGCAGTTTGGGCATTCGGTCTCTAAAAGGTTTGCCATCACTGGCCTAGCTAAAAGCACTGCATAACCATAAATATTGCAATCATGTAATAAGGTGTCACATACGATACTTCCTCACTATACTGGAAAAATGAAAGTTTTTTCTGCTTTGAAAGGGAGTCTTTTGTCTTCAACAATATTTTGAACCAGAGCTTTGTTCAGGCAACAGATGCTTGAAATTCTAACATAATAAGTAACTTCTGATTTGATACGATAGCACTTATGCTATGTTGTGATATGGCTATAAAAGTGAAAGACTGTTATTTTTACAACCTGTTATGAATGCGCAAACTGTGTTAGATATGGCACCCACAAACAAAAGTTGCAAACAAGTCACTGACTGGTTAACAGTTCCCAATCTTCTGGGGGCACCTTTGGGATTTAAAAAAAACCCAATGATATGGGAACAGTTGCAATACAACTGCTGTGGGATATAGTTGGTCACATATAAATCAGGTTGAGGGCACTTTAAAATGTTCATAGTGCCCTCTTGTGGTCTGGCTGTGTTCATATAGCATAGAACTGGGCAACTCACAATCTGTATCCAGCCTCCCTAAACTCTCAGTTGTGCTGCTGAAATTGGTGGCAAAATGTTCAATTTTCAATGATGTAATATTTAGGAATTATTTCTATCCACAAAAATAAAGGTAGAAATGGAAGCAAATACTGTACTGGGGAGGCAAACAAATTGGATTTTCAGCCTTCCTCTCCAACAGTGACCTGTAGTGAAATACTATAGCAGGGGTCTTCAAACTAGGCCCTTTTATGACTTGTGGACTTCAAGTCCCAGAATTCTTCAGCCAGCGTGCCTGACTGAAGAATTCTGGGAGTTGAAGTCCATAAGTCATAAAAGGGCCAAGTTTGAAGACCCCTGTATTATAGCAACTACAAATCCCAAAGCAGGTTAAAAAAAAAAANNCTAGGGATTTTTAGCGGGGTTTTTTAAGGGTATTTTAAGGATAATTTTAATGATCGGCCTTCTTAAATATTTCCTTTTAATTCGGTTTTTAATAGATATCATTGTATTTGTATTGTGGTTTTTATGAGGCTGTTAGCCGCCCTGAGTCCCATGAGGAGAAGGGCGGGGTACAAATTAAATTAATAAATAAATAAATAAAATAAATATTGAATATATCACATATATAGCATCATCTAACTCCATTTTGACTTGGTGCTATGGGAGGATCCACTCTCTACATCTCTATGTTTTTCCCTCCTCTTCCTCTCATACACACACAATGCTTGAGAGAGAGGCAGGCAAAGAAAAGTGAAGAAACTGGGTAGGGAGAACTATTTCAAGCAGGAAGTCTAAAGGACTTGAGTAGAAGGGCAAAAAGTATCAGCTCAGTTTCCAGCAAGGATTCTAAAGCCTCAAGAATCCTTGGTGAGAAGTAGATTTTCATCTATTTCAGCTATATATTTTAAGCCAGCTTTTTTTTTTTTTTTTTGAGAGGGGGGCTTATTTAAGGTACGAGTCAGCAAGGCAGATGGACAGCAATGCCATAGGAAGTACAGTGGTTCCAGATTATATCTAGATTGCTTCTCTTTTGGGCTTTGTCCTGCTCTGTAGTTGCTTCATAGTTTTGCTTCTCGTTTCTACTTCTGGCTCTGTTTCCTGATTTTTTTTTTCAGTCCGCGCTTGCCATATTTAAGATAATTAGATGGAGGATAAGCATTGATTTGACCTGGCAAACTGCCCTGGAGTTCCAGGTGCACCTTTCTTTTCCAGGAATTCATATACATTGGCAACTCCTCAAACTGGGGGGAGAAGGGGGAGCTTGGGAAAGAAAACAGATTTTGAAAACAAGAACGCCCTCCAATCTCCTCCTCACATATAATCTTCTGTTCTAGACTGCAGGTTTCCTACTACAAGTGTGCATATGAAAAGAGAAAGATTAAACTGGGAACATCTACACACCCAGACATCAGGCACAGTTACATCCTCATTGCATCTACAGTTATTGTCTGAAGACAGCCTTGGATTTTATCTTTGTCCGTCTACCTCAGCGTTTCTCAATCTCAGTACCTTTAGTCTGAGTGGAGTTGGCATCCGCTCATCTTAAAGTCACTGAGGTTGAGCTACACTGATCTACACCTTCACAAGCCAGGAGGATGCCACTTCTATCTAGCCAGTAGCACAATCCATTTAAATTGCCAAACAATAGTTTTCATTTCCATATTCAGACTTACTCTTTTATTTATGTTCTTGTTGAATACTGACACGTTATATTGTAGGCCCGAGTATATTTCCTGCAAATATATGGGTTCCTCTCTGGGATTTCTCTTCCACTTCTCGGGGGGAACAACAGTGACTGAAATAGAATTCTCAGTCGATGAGAGGGAAAATGCAGGTGGATCGATAGTTGCTGAAAAGCAAACATATATAATTATTTAAAAGAATCAGAACACAATAAAGGAGAATATTTGTAGCTCAGGGTTGAAATGAGGGGTCCTTGATGCTCTCTGAGCTTGCTTGTTTCCTTGCAGTCATTTCATTACCGAAACTAAGTAACATCATCAGTGCTAGGGATGATGATATTACCTAGCACTGATGATATTAACTACTTTGCGTAATGAAACGTTTTCAAGAAAACAAGAAAGCTCAGAGAGCACCGAGGACCCCTCAGTAAGAACACAGTCAAAACCAACTGAGACAGAATTTCCTTTTTGGTCTACCTGGTTTATTTTTACCTTGAACTTTTCAGTAACACAGGTTTAGGCTTGCCTATTCCAACTGGTACCTCTCCAGATTGTTTCACTACATGGATCATCATTTCAAATCAGCACACACCATTGTGGCTAGTCATGAGGAAATTTAGGTTCCAACACAATTACAGAGGACCAGGTTGGATAGGCTGACTTACGTAAGAAAAGTTTTAATATCTTCCCTTCAATTGTATCATTAATTTGAATTTATTTAGAAAAATTCAGTATATTGAGCAGGATCTAAAAAACAGCAACAACTGAAAAAGTTTCTCCATGAGTCAAAAGGCATTTATATTGGGTTTCATAATCAATTGCCATTGAATGTATTTCAACCTGGCTTTGAAATTGAGAGGTGATTCAAAAGCAGTTCCTGATGAAGTGTGAGAAATTTTTAATCAAAGAGAAAGAAAAAAATTAAGCTACTAGACTAGTCCAGGCTTCTCACTGAATCTACATATTGCAATAAATATCTTTAGAAGCTGTATTGTTTTGATTAACAGAGTGACATTTTCGGAGGGGAAATGGAAGTGTGTATCTGTGTGTTTCCCATGGAACTTCCTTTTTCAACTTCAACAAGTTTGGAGAAACAGACCAAAACCAGAATATTAATGAGTGCCAGTTACAGCAGACTGAAATTAATATCCTCTACCCAGAAAAATAAAAAAAAATTGTTTTTAAATCACCTGCTTTCTCTGTTTAATGAGCTGGGATTCAGCAATTCAGATATATACCCCTAACTAATAGCGAAAGTGCAACAGCATCCTATTTCATAAATGGCAGCCTCAGAGACACCACAACAGCCTTAGAACAATGCAGTCAGGGACAAGTACTTTAACTATTCTTCCATGGCTTCCCCTTAGGTATTATTATGAAAATAAAACAAAAAAGAAAATCCCAAACTCCTCTCTGAAGCTGCTGTTTACATTTTGAGGGAAGCTTTCTTCTACAGCAATGGGAGTTTTCTTGATCATTCAGCAATTAATGGAATATTTACTTTGTATTTCAAAGAATGCAATTGAACTGCTGTGCACATGAAAGTTATTATGTAGCAAAAGCCTGAGCTGAACCTTAATTACACCAAAAGCCTGAGATGAACCTTAATTACACCATTACACTTTGTTCCTAGTCACCTTCTACTTGCATTTATTTCTGTAGAACAATCCTCAGGCTGTGTTTGGAGCAGTTCCTCTTTCGCCAATCATACGTTTTGCATATTCCAACATGCAGTGGTGGGATTCAGCATTGGTTCGGCAGAACCGGTAGTTAAATTTTGCTGAGTTCGGAGAACTGGCTGAATGAACACAGCTTCCGGAAGTCCATTCTAGGCCTTGGAGGCCTGGAGGAGGCCTCCCAGGCCTAGAACGGCCCAGTGGAAGTGCATGGGTGCCACTTCTGGAAGTCTGTTCTATGCCTCGGAGGTCCAGGCCTGCATCCAATAAGAGAACCGGTTGTTCAGGTATTTGAATCCCACCACTGTCAACATGTGTCTGTTGCATGAAATCGGTGGTAAGGGACGAGGGTGAAAATCAGCAAATATCTAACACTAGTTGCTGCCCTTCAGCATCTCACAACATTGTTATGAGCATATATTAGTTGTCCTTACTCTCTGTAAATGGATTGAACCTTGGTGATTCTGCCCAGACAGAACAATTTCCCTTTAGAGAGACTTTCACTCTGGCATGATATTGCTCTTTGTGGTTGTAGGTTTCCTGTGAGAGGTCACACCAGGTTTGATTGATATTCTTACATTCTGGATACTTAATCCATTTATCTGTGCCATATCTGAATATCAAAAGGGAAAAGAAAAACAGTCAAAATTAGCATTTTTACAATTAATCCTTAATTGGGGTTGAACTCCCGGGAAGGAGGGAAAGGGAGAGTTTTGAAAGATTTCTTTGTTGTTTAAATATTAAATGCCTTTTTTAGGATTTCAGAAACTGGACTTGGGGATCTCTTCCCAAAAAAGTGCATTGGGGAATTGCTGTGTCAAAAAGAGCACAGCAATTTCTGCTTCTGGAATTACCTGCTGGTAAGTTTTGGGTGGGCTCTGTTTGCAACTCTTTAAAGCAGCTATATCTTTCCCTGGGATCTCTGGCTGACTGTAGAACTGCTACACCAGGGGTAGTCAACCTTGGCTCTTTTATGACTCGTGGATTTCAATTCCCAGAATTCCTGAGCCAGCTTAGCTGGCTCAGGAATTCTGGGAGTTGAAGTCCACGAGTCATAAAAGAGCCAAGGTTGACTACCCCTGTGCTACACAATCCTGGGAAAAGTCAGGGCTGCTTTAAAGAGTTGCTATAGCTGCTACATTCATGATACACCTGTTGCAAAGTGCACTTTTAGAATCCAGCCTGATTTATGGCAGAATCTTTATTATTCTATGATGTTCTCATACATGAAAAAAAGTTATGTAACATAGCAAACCCTCTTCCAGCTAAATTTTAAATAAATAATTCATTTTTTAAGTTACTAGTAAGGAATGATGTTTTGATGAAATAGCAAAAATAAGGTTTAAAGACAAATTTTTCGAGGGCTCTGAACTTTTTCAAAAATCCAGTATTATCATTGAGAAGTGGGTGGCTTTTTCATGTCTAATGCTGCATCCTTCAGCGAGCTTCAGCAAGAAGTTAATAAGAGTGAGTCAAAATACCATTAACTCTATGCTATGTGCTTTCTCCTCTTAATACTCTCCCAGGCAGCCAATTGCAGAAGAGATATTTCTCAGTAGAAGACTGAATAAAGCTCTGATGTAGAAATTTGAAAATTAACCTTAGGACTGCCTCCCTCATTTATAATCTTCAGCCTCTTATGGTTATAACAAAAACAAGCAGAATGAAGCATTTGCACATGGAAATAGCTGACTTTTACAATGTACACAGTGTAAAATTCAATAGCCAACATACATCAAATACTTCACTTTATAATTTAATTTGTTCTCTGCTATTCCTTCTGGTGGCAACCAATGCAGGATGTTCTTCATGTTTCTGGAGATAAAATGGACATTCCGTGGGCTGGGCAAAAAACAATGTGATGCTATCGGGAAAGAAAACAAATGACACAAATGAACAATTAGATTATGATCCACACATTAAAACAAATTGGGGGGGACTTAAAACAAAATAGATGGAGAGGCTTTGACAGAATGAAACTCTTGGGTGGACCAGCAGTTCTTTCAGGAAAATTGTTCCATCTCCCTTCTTAGGCATTGAAAAATAGAGGATGTTCTTTGCTGTCATATAGTAGCTTCACATGCAAAAAGCAATCCTGTAGGCTTAACAGAGAGCCAGTTTGGTCTAGTGGTTAAGGTTGCTGTTGTGGAGAAAATAGGAGGAAAGTGTGTGGAGTTATTTGTAAAAATAAAAAGGCGGAATACAAATAAATAACATAAAAATAATATCCATTCCCATTTTTAATGCTATTGTGGATAGTTTGTTTTAATTATAAGGATACAATTTCCATAGACTGAAGTTAAAAATGATCATTAGGCTTATATTTTACTGATTATATCTATAATATATAGTTGAAAATTTAATAGAGTAGCAAGTTTGTGCCATTTTGGGGGAAGTTCATATTTATTTCCACTATGCTCCTGGCAATTTCTGGAATCAATATACTGTGTAAAGGTGTTTTACTTCTGGGACAGCAAAGAGATAGGCCTGTATGGGCCTGTTTGGTTGCAGACTGGATTTTGACGATGAGGCTCATTGAATATTTAACTTTATAGAAGAACTCTACAGATACAGATGGTCCTCACTCACCACTCCTCTTGTTCAGTCATCGTTTGAAGTTATTACAGACTGAAATAACTTTATGGCTAATTTACCACCTTTGCAGCATCCTTCAGTAACTTGAGAGTAAGCACAGCCATGGTTCCCAGCCCTGGGCTGCAGTGCAATCACATTGCTTTCAATGTGTACAAAACAATGAGCAGGCACTTGAACATTGTGAAGGGTAAGGGAGTGATTAGGAAGAACCAAACGCGTGAAAAGTATAAAACTGAATAGTCTTCTTTCTTCTGGTTGGAAAACACCACCATAGTCATATGATTTTCCATTTAGTGACTGCTTCACTTAACAGTGGGTTACAATTAGAGTTATTTACTAAGGACCACCCATGGTCCTTGGTTATTGGTTGCTCCTCCAGCAGTTTTAAGACCTATCCAGTCACATAATTGCAGTTGGGTGCTTGGCAATTGGCATGCATTTATGATGGTGACAGCATCCCATGGTTACATGATTGCCATTTATGACTTTCATAATGAGCTTCCAGAAGCAAAGTCAATGGGGAAGCTGGCTGGAAGTCAGCAGTTGTAGTCATGTGATGTCATGCTTAATGACTGATTCATTTCACAACTGCCGCTGGGACTAATATAATAAATTGAGCATGGTCACATGATGAATCATTTTAATAACTGTGTCACTTAGCAATGGCAAGTGAAGACTACCTGTACTTGAATTTGAAAGTTACAAGTAACTATGATTTGGTCTTGTGAATTACTGACAATATTTGGGAATAACACTTAAATTACTTAAGTACATTTATGGAGATTTTTTAAATACTAAAGATCTTAATGTTATGTTATGTTCCAAAACTTTGGGTTCTTACTATTTTGGGGGAGTTATGGTTATATCAGGTCTGCGGTATTGCTAAGAGAATTATTTTGAGAAATTGGAAAGGTAGCATTATTCCTGATATTAAGGAGCAGATTCAAATTTATCTATCTTTGAAAGGGCAATTCTGTCTACTGTACTAATAAAAATGACATGATATGTTCTCCTCTGGCACAAATTTTGAAATATTTTGTAACCTTAAACTGTCTTAATTTATTTTCTTTAATTTAGATAGGTTTAAGTATGTTTTGATATTTTAGGATATATAATATCTATAGGTGATTTAACCTTTTTTTTGTTAAGTTTGTTATTGTTTTCTTTTGTTGTTTTAAATAAGTTTTCCATTTTTGCACATTTCTTCTTATAAAGCTTTTGAAGATAAATAAGCTTAGTAGAAATAAAAGACTGAAGTTCTTTTTCAAATCTGTGTTTATTTGTACGGTATGCATGCAAACAATAGTTGTGTTAATCTGGTTATACAATTAACCATATTTTGAATTTGCATAACACAGTAAACTATAAAGTAACCAAACCAGCTGGATTCATAATTGAGGTTAGTGCTTAAATTTAACCAAAATTAAAGTTATGCTATCAGGTTCACTGTAACATTGATTAAATGTCTGTGAGAACTCAGTACATAATGCAGAATTCTATGCAGCTTATTTTAACCATGTTATTGTTATGTATTGCCAATGTTGTTGTTATGTAGGCCCATCGTAATATGGAGCTATCTTTATAATTCTTTAAAAAAAGCATTTCTAACCTAATTGCATTGGTATGTCACTTTTTCTCCAAGAAAATCAAGATAGTACATGTGGATTTCTCACCCTTTCTAGGAGAACAATTTGTTCAAAATCTGCCAGGAAGCTTCATTCTGAATGAAGATTTGGGTCTGGGTCTCAGTGCAACCATCTAACCATCCGCTGCATTAGCTGGTACTTAGATGTATGAAAACTGCAGGGCGGAGGAGGCACCCATCCCTAGAAATAACTTCAAAGCAACAGTAGGATTCTTTTTTCCCCCAAAGAGTGAGCTGTCCAACAACGCAAGAAATCTTGAAGCATAACTAAAGACAATTTGAAAGCATGGGGAAACAGCCCAGCCCTTTCTAAGCCAAAGACCTGTCTGATCGGGTTCAGCTACCTGTTCAAAACCTTGCACGTTTCCCCTAAGCCTACTCAAGTCTTCCACACTGTTTGCATAAACAGTGCCACTTTAAAAAGTGAGCTTGGTTGCCCCCCCCGCCCCCGTGATTCGTCCACTCTGCAAGTATTCCGAGGTATCCCTTTCCTGATATTTGCAAATAATAAATGTAATGCCCTTTCCAAGACCTAATCAATCTTTCGCTACCCTCCCATTATTGTTGCTGGCCGCTTTTTTTTAATCTTCATCTATCAACACATCCGTCGCTCTTAGAAAAACGTGCCAGGAGCAGAAGCGGCTCAACGTTTCGGGTTAAGCCCAAAGCTGCGAGGAAGCTGCCCCGGGCGACCCCCGGCGTTCCCGCATCACCTACCTGCCACCTCTGAAAGAGTCGCAGGGAAGATCAGCCGGAGCAGGAGGAGCCAGAGAGCTGACGCCGCGCGGTCACTCATTGAGAAAGGACAGCGCCTGTGCGTTGCATGATGCTCTTCTCCGCCACCTTCTCCTCAATTCGGTCGGACGCAGAGGGCGACCGCAGCGGCGACCCCAACAAGCCAAGAAGAGAACTTCCGGTCTTCCCAGGGCTGACACGCTTAGCGACTCCTGCCTGGCCGCTTTTAGCTTGTTCCCGAGAGGGAGCTACGCGCAGCGACCCTGCCGTACACTTCGCGCCCCGACTGCTTTCCAGGGCTCGGGCTAGTTGCTTGCAAGTTGCGCTCTAGCGCCTGGTTCCCGAATCCAAACACTCAGAAGCCACGCCTGTTTAAGCGGAATAGTGGTGAAGTGGGATCTGGGTAGATTGGGGTTAAAACGCCCCATGTAGGGCCTGGCTGGGCTTTAAATATTGGTGGGAGGAGGTGAGGGGGGGCAGAAAGTCTAATTGCAGAACTAAGATGCTGGAAAATCTCGTCAAAAACCAAGCTCTTGTTTCATCTCTCCCTGCCCTCCCCACACTTTTTGCATAGAAATTTCTTCCAGAAAGTTGTCTTTATTGATTGATTGATTTTAGTTAAGTCTTATTTACCACAGCATTATGAAATCTGTTTATCTCTAAATTGTGTGTGTGGGCATTGGGAAGCTGTGAAGTGCCACAGCTTTACAGAAACCACAGAGATCTTTTTCAAATGTTTTTTTTTCTCATCTTTGTGGGAGAGAATGCACAAAGCCACAGTTTTTGGCACTGGTGCAAAATCCTTTGGAAGTTTAGTAATTTTACTGTAAAACGTCAGCATTTCTGCCAGAAGGACTATGTCAATTTCTGTTTCCTATTACATGGTCTTAAGAAGTGGTGTATCCTACAATATTTTACTTGATTAACCATTTACATTAATTGAAGAAAAACATTTTAGTTAATTAAAAAAGCATTCACAATTTATGGAGCAGAAGAACTTTTATTTACTTAAAAAAAATGTCAAAAAGCTGGGGCTAGCCAGCACAGCTTTAGAACCAAGGCATCTCTCTTCCAAGAGTTTTTACGAGAAGAGGATACTCTTAAATATTGTTGCCTGCTGCAACACCAACTTCTAAAAATAAATAATTAAATATGCATTTTATGAATATGTAACTGATTTGCTCAACAATGAAAATGATCCATAAGATTGTACCACATTTCTTTATAATGCAACCCTACGTAAGATTATATAGAATTACGAAACCTCACTGAGTTCAGTTCCTTTTGCAGGAAATTGTATACGGAACTGCAGCAATTCTATAGAAAGGGCTCCCTATTTCTTACTAGGCATATATAGGATTAAGCTGCTAATCATGTGACATCAATAGCCGCAAGGCCTGCAACATTGGCTTCTTGCTCTAACTCATTTTGTACAAGTTGAGGCATCACTTCGATGGTTCTCATCCTTTGGGGTGTGTCAGTTGCTTATTATCACCTGCCAATGTGTTGGCACAGGGCAACTGGTCTATCAGTGAAAAATGAGTATAGAGCTTTGTTGTTCATATTCTGAGGCTGGATTCACCCATTGCACAAAAACATAAGCCGAAGCTTATAAATCGTCATGGCATTTTGGGAGGCAAAAGTCTAGCAATCTGGCAAATAAAAATGGGATTATTTTATTAGAATACTTGGCAATCCTATGTGACTGATCTGCAAGTGTCTTTATAGGTAAAATTTTGTGCATTTATTCTGGCAAGGATGTTCCAGTTGATCATTTCAAAATCAGCACTGCTGATTTAATTCATCTTCAGAACCTCCTCACACTTAGTGGATATTTGAACTGATTCTGAGTTTACATAGTGGACTAAA